GATGCTATGATTGCATTTGTTCTAATAGTGATATGTGTTTTAAGCCCCAAACTTCAGCACCATATAAGAGTATAGGAGTAACCTTGGCCTTGTATACTGTGATAATAGGGGCTAAGGAGCCTGGATAGCTGTGATTTATTAATTTGAGCAGTAAGTTCATATATGCCCTTGCTCTAAGTGAGCTCCTTTGCTGATGAGGAAGCCAAGATCCGGTCTCAGAGAAGACTACCCCTATGTAAGGGAAAGTATTAACTTGCTCTGTTGTCTCAGCATCTAATAGCCATCTATGGTTATGATGTTGTTTTCCAAAACCATAATTTTTGACTTTGATTATTAATGATCAGAGAATTATTATGACAGGAGGAGTCAAGTCTTCTTAACAACCTATGCAACCCAATTTGCGAATATGATAGTAAAATCATGTCGTCAGTGTATAGCAAGGCGTTACAATGTGTGTTTAACACCTTGGGCATATGTACTTCAGGGTCCTTCATTAATCCTGGTAAGTCGTTAATATATAGGCTAAATAACAATGGTGCAAGTACGCATCCTTGTTTTACCCCTTTACAAGTATCAGTTCTTCTTGTCATGGCTCTATTAATCCCAAACTGCACTCTCAGACTAGTGCTTGTATAAAGGGCCTTGATCAATGCCCGCAGTCTGGGTTCCATTTTGAGGAGAGTCAATTTCCTCCATAATATTTCTCTATTTACTGTGTCAAGTGCTGCACTAAGATCTATAAAGGCAGCAAACAGTTGTTTCCCCTTACTGATGTATTTTGAAACTAGATGGTTCAAGACAAAGCACTTATCAATAGTAGATCATCTCTGTCTAAAGCCGGCTTGTTCTTCTGTGAGAATACACTTTTCATCTACCCAACTCTCAACTCTACTCAGAAGGAACTTAGCATATATTTTAGCCACAATATCTATTAGGCTAATGAGCCTGTAATTGCTAGGGTCTTTTTTATTCCCTTCTTTGTATATAGGAACTACTATTGTCAACTTCCACCCAGCTGGAATATGGCAGGGATTATTTACCGTATATGTGTAAATAAACCTGCCAATAGAGGGGCCCACCAGTCGGGATATTTTTTTAATAGCTCAGCTGGTAGAAAGTCCTCCTGGGGGGCTTTATTGCTCTTCAAGCCTTTTATGATAGATTTAATCTCGTTTTCTGATACTGGTGACTAAAGAGGTGAGGCTTTAGTAAGTGATGAATCACTACTTGGAAACTGTTTCTCAACAGGTTCTGATAGAGCAAACAGATCATGATAGTAGTTTTCCCATTCCTCAGCAGAGATTGGAATATCGAATGCAAATCTCTGTTCTTTCAGGATTCTGGCTACAGAATGCCAAAGTATAGCCAAGTTATGACTTTTTGCTGACAGCTCAAGTCCGGACCAAATTGAGGCACCATAGCTTTTTTTCTTTGATTTAATGAGTTTCTTATATTTGCTTCTTAGAGACAGCATCTTAGCTTGTGTACTGTATGTACAGAGAGATTCCTTTGTGCAAGTCTCATAGCTGTCTTTAGTTTCTTTTTCATTAAACGGCATTCATTGTCAAACCAAGGAGATCTACCTATAGGGAAACTTTTGGAGGAGGGTTTAGTTATTAGGTGTTTCTTTAACATATGGCACAAATTGGTGAATGCATTGGAGACTGACTGCCAGTCAGCCATGGAAGACTGGATTATTAAGGCCCAATTGACAGCATTCTCTGATTTGAGGCTATTCAATATTGCCTTAATATCTACTTTGGACCCTATTAACCTTTTATTTTGACTCACCTCTGAATTAATAGTAACCCACCTATCAGCCATGTTATATGATCTTAAATCTGAATGAGCTGAGATTCTCACACTCACTGGCTGATGATCACTTTCTCCTCTTGGATAGACACAAATTTGTGTATCTACCTCTTGATACACAAATAAGATCTAGTGCACTGCTTGACTGGGCTGAATGAAAGGTGTATGGATATACGTAATTATTATCCTTACCTCCCAAAATTTGAAGATTACATTTAAAAATCAATGATACCAAGAATAAACCAGCAGTATTACTTTTGTTATCTCTTGAAAACCACTGTGGGTGATTATCAAAAAA